TTATGACTATTATCATAAATCGTTGATTAGTTCATTGTAAAATATTTTATTGTTTTTTTTATTAATTTTAGGTTACTATTATTTATGTTGATAATAGTGTCATGAGAAAAAAATATTTATGAAATTTGATTATTTTTATTGTCAATAACATGTTTGTTTTTTGGATTCTTCTCTATGATTTTAATTATATTGTTAGAATTAATGAAAAAGTAGGAGATTTACCTCCTTTGCCTAGTAAATTAGTGAAATTCCATAAATGTATTTCTTCAGTTGTTCTTATTGAGATGTGTAATTCTGGTTACTCTTATAGTAGGTTCAAACATGAATTGAATGATCCTATAAAATGTTTTCTTGATAGAGCTATTTTAATTCTCATTGAATTAATGCATTGAATTAATGTTTTTCTCGATTTCTCGATCTTTTTTTTTTTAAGTCTTAAACCTCTATTCTTCTGATCATTATCATAATTTTATTTATTTGGGAAAATCTATCAATTTTAATTCTAAATTCATCTGAAAAATTTTCAAAATTTTATGCCCTAATTTCCTTTCTATTATTATTGAGGTTGCTAATAATGATCCTATCTTTAATTTAAGTAATATGCTTCATAAGGTTAAAATTGCTTTTAAAAATTGGAAGTAAAATTCTTATAGTACTTTATATAATCATACCGTTGATCTTAAGCAGAAATATAATGAGATTATTTCTATTTTAGAGTTGCAGAATGTTTCTATTGATTTGCTTAAACAAGCTTCTTTCATTTAAATAGATATTGTTAATGATGATATCTGTGAGTATAAATGGGTTAAGCAAAAAAAACTAAATGTTCTTGAATTTTTAAGGGTAAAGATGATATTAAATTTCTTTATCAAAGGGTTAATATCATACAAAATTTCATTTTTATTAAAGAAATTAAGATTAAGAATAATTATGTTCATAGACAAGATAAAATTGTTACTGAAGCTATTTCTTTTTTACTCTGGTCTTTTGAATGATCATATTCTTTTTTATGATAATACTATGGATTCTTCTCTTGTTTATAAATATGTTTCTCAAGAAGTCTCTCCTTTTTTAATTCAATCTTTTAATGTTGATGATGTTAAAAATACTTTCTTTTCTATAGGCTCTAATACAACCTCTCGGTCTAATGATTTTTCTTCTAATTTTTTTAAAGATTGTTAGAATACAGTTGATTTTTATTACATTATTGCACTTAACATTTTTTTATTACTTCTAGGCTTCCTCAAAGAGTTAAACATACTATTGTCATGAGTATTCCTAAAAAATAACAATACTAAGTTTTTATTGATTTCAGGCTTATTTGATAAAAGTTGATAAACATTTTTTTATGAAAAAATGAGGGAAATTAGTTACCCTCCAATTTTCATTAATTGGATCATCTCTTGTACTGAGGATTTTTATCAAAAGTATGATTGGAGGTTATTTCTCTTACACTTCTGGCTTAAGGCAAAGGTTCCCTCTTTCCCCTTTTCTTTTTGATATTATTATTGATGATTTGATTGTTTCTCTTCTCAATTAAATGGTGGTAATCATTTTAATTATTTTTTCATTTAATTTATGTTAATGATATTATGATATTTAGGAATGTTGACTTAATTATTATCACCATTATTAAAGATGCTTTAATGAAGTTTAGTAGAGCTATTAATTTGAATTTTCAAAGACTTCTATGTTTTTTCTAAGTCCATAAATGAAATTACTATAAATCAAATATGCTATTAATCAATGATGTTTGTTACGTTTGATTTAATTTTAATTTTTAACATTTTTTAGTTACTTAATAGTTTTATTTATTTTAAAAATTAAGGATGAAATTACTTTGATTGTATTTTCCTAAATTCCACCCACTTTAATGAGTTTAAATGCTTTTTCTTTGTATTTTTTTTTTTATTTTTCCTTGATTAATGATGATTTTTTTAAGCTTTGAATATTTCTTTGGATACAAATAAATCAGAAAAATGAGATTTTCCTACTTAAAAACATCAACGCCAAGTCAACCTCCACGGTTTCGAAATGCCACGCACTGTCCGTTTATTGGTAGTGCTTTCCACGTGGATGCAATGCTAGCCCGCGATCTGCTATACTGAGAGGATCTTGCAATTATGTTTGGAGCAATTACACGAGAATGAACGTTATCTGTTAATCATCCCCACAAAAATGAAAAACTTAGAGCAACCACGATCTGGTGGTTGATTCTCGTGATCTAGTGCACCAACCTAAGAACAAATCGAGCCATATAGTTAAATGCATATGAATTTAAACTTTTCTTCACAAATCTCCAAAACTGAGAGCTAAAATAGATTTTTAAGCATATACCAGTCCAAGAGGTAAGACCTCAATTGGGTTTGACAACGAGCTCCTCCTTGAGTGCACGAGGCTCCTCCGAGTGTCAATTTGGTCTGAGCTTACGATTGTGTAGGACTTTGATAAAAAAAAAGTGCATTGTTTGGTCTGAAGGTGCATTGAAGGGCTCGAGACAGAGATTTTGATGGGGTAGTTAGTTTTAGGGCTTGGGGAAGCTAATGGGATGATCAAATTGGAGTTTTGGTGAGTTAAATGGTGAACCCAAAAATGGTTCTGTTGCGAATTAGAGAAATTAGAGGGGTTTAGAGGAGTTCAAGGCTTAGAAAAGGTGGGGAAGTAAGGCTAAGTGTTGTGGCGAGGACTTGGAAGCAAGAGAGTAGGGGTTCTCTCAGAGGAATAGAGATATGATTGACTTCATGTGCTTTTGGTTTGGAGGCCTTCGAAGGCCATAAAAGGCCTTATATAACTGTGGAGTTGATGGGTGAGGGAGCCTTAGAGGTGTTTAGGGAAGCTTTGGGCAAAGTTTTGAGCAATGAGGAAGAGTTTGGGCCATTTTTGAATTTTTTTGGGTAAGAGGCCACCAATGGCCATGGAAGGGGCTTGGCTTTTGTTTGGCTTTGTCAACCAGGTGATTAGTTTCTCAACAAGGTTGTTGTTGGGTAAAGAAAAAGTTCCAAGAGGGAGAGACCATATGTAGGCTCAATTTGGTTTTGAGGTGGAGGGTTTACCTTACATTTTGGGTGGCTTCGATCTTCGACATAGGAATAGTTGTCATGAGATTTGGGTTGCTTTTGTCTTTGGTTAAGTCATAAGAAGTTGGGTGGATGAGTATTGATCATGAAAATTTAGGTGGACTTGAATCTTGGACCTATATTGGAAATGAGTCGTTGCTTTTGAAAAATTAAAAAAGGTGTGTGGATTTTGCTAAAGATGGCTTGGATGAGGCTTAGCATGGCCTGAAATGGCTCATTTGATTTTGATGGCTTGACATTTGGCCTTGGGTTGTCCTATTCAACTTGACATAGGATTGTCATGAGGACTTCAGGTTTGACAAGATATGTGCTTGGTTTGATTTATTTAAAAGATGAATTTTAATGTGTGTAAGTGTTAATTTTATTTTAGATATTTAATTTTAATTTTAATTTTAATGTTGGTGATTGCAAAAGTAATTTTTTTAATGCATTTTAGTTAATTTAGTTTTAAGATTTTAATTTTCCTTATGTTAATTTTAGTTAATTTAATTTTTCATAACTTTATTGAAGTTAGAATTTTGACATTAAGATGTGTAACTTAATGATTTTAGGTTCCTTTGATTTCTCATTTTGAATTGATCATCATAATTTTGTATTTGATATTAATGATTTAATTTTTCATTAAAATTATATTGATTTTTTTTTGTTGAATCTAATCTTTAATGGATGATTTTGTTGAAATTGATTTTTAATGGATTTAATTATATTGATTGTTGTAAAGAATGAATTTTAGCGGATTCCGTTATGTTGATTTTTTGTTGAAATTAATTATGTTGATATTAGACTTTAAATTTGACCTTAGGTTGATTTATAAATGAATTCTATTTTTATTTATTTTTATATTTTATTTAATAGTTTTGATTTGTGAGCTCAATTTTTGCGACTTTGATTATTATATATATATATATTTAGTGAGTGATTTCAATTTAATTGAACTTTAACTTTATTAATTTTAATTTTGAATTAAATTTAGAATTTTGATGAATTTACTTTAATTTTAATTTTGATAATAATTGGTTTAATTTTAGTATGTGAATGAATTTTGAAGTTTCAATTTTAATTGACTTTGATTTTCAAAATGATAATTTCTTTAAAAAGATAAATCTTATCCTATGCTCTCAATGAACCCAAGAAAGAGTTATTTATGAAATTATGAAGGAGACATGCTAAAATCACAAATGAGGAGAAACTATTATGAAACTATTATGTCTATCGTCCGCACATGAGAACGACCAACTGTCAGGAGACAACTCGACATACATTTTAAGGTAGCATCCGTTAATGCTACGTTGTTGCCCAACTGTTGATCGTACTAGACACAATATTTTCTCGAAAATGAGAGACTAAAAGAAGACAAATTTCTAAGATCTAAAGATGACTTATGATATTTTAACTTATAAGAACTCAAATTAAGCTTCAATAGCCCAACCCTAATCATCTCAGCCAAAAGTTGAGGATTTGAAATTAATCCCACGAAACTCTAATGAGTGAAGAGATGACTTGAAATTCTATTTTGATATGAATTCCTACACCAGTATTCTAGGAGAGCTACTAATAAAAATCCTAAGACTAGATCCTACACTCAGAAAGAAATAATAAGATAAACCTCATGCAAAAATGACATCAACATTCGCATGCGATCGATCCAACACTCAGCAAAAAACACCACATAAATTTTCGTCAAAATATGGAATTTTCACAAAACAAAATCATCAGTAACTTTAACAAAATGAATATCATCTCCACACCAATGTACACAACAATTATCTTATTTCAGGATGATTGGACAAAAAGCTTTAGAAATAATAGAAAAAGCACAGCTTCTTTACCACATTTATTATTTCATTCAAAACATTAAAAAAAAATTTTTTTTCAGTTGATAATTTCTTTATTTAAATATTTAATTTTTATGACATAGCATTATCATAAAAATGAGCATTTGTAATATCCTGAAAAATTGCGTTTGAAAATCATAAAAATACTATAAAACAGGAGGACTAATTCGCAAAATTTCCGAAGCGAACAGACCCATAATTTACACATGGATTTGACTAACATAACACATAAACATAGCTACGTGTTTTAAGGTGGAGATTGCAGGACAGTGAGGTAGAATGGATGTCCTCGGCTTATACCAGATGAGCTCCTCATGGCATCTACATTCCAGTGCAATTCATAATTTGATAGATCGAATGTCCCAGGTGAGAAAACACAGATCCTAAGAGGAACTCTAGCAGTGGAAGAAGGCTGCATCTTGACTGATGTGGAGCTTGCTGCACACCAAATAAAGGGAGAAATGCTTTGTGACGACAATGATGATGATGGCGACGACGATGGTGATGGTGATTTTCGGAATTGAAATCCTTGAACGTTCGAGTTCTCTTTTATGTCATTTGCTAATGATATATCATGCCATCCTCCTTGATTGATGTTAGGATCAGAAGTTGAATCCTCTGAAGGCTTTGTTTCGGGCATGAAATCCATGGTGATGATTCTAATGAAAACCTCACTCTTCATACGGTTATAGATTGTTAATTCAAGATCAATCTCACAAAATGAAACGCAAAAATCGTGGTGTATAACTCGAGGTCCCTCCAAAAGCCACCACACAGGCAACTCCTCGGAGATGCTGAAAAACATGAAAAAAATAAAAATAAAAAACATAATTGCTTTAGCTCATCAAAGATCCTAGATTTATTTTCTGTTTTTGTTTTTATTTTTTCTTTTCTTTTAAGAAATATGTTTGTTTAGGGCCTGCTTAAGATCTCTTTCTCTTTTCTCTTTTTTTTACTTCTGTTTTTTAAAACATGTTTGGTTTGTTTATAGCTTTTATATGTTTTTATTTTTTATTTTTAAGAATGTACAAAACACCTAAAAAATATTTTGAGTATTTTTAAAAACAACCATCACAATCAAGAATGTTTTTATTCAAATCAAAACTTAAAGAAAACAAAAGAAAAACAAAAAAAATAGAAAGCTAAAAGTAAAGTAGATCCTAAATGGGGGAAAATATTTGCGTATATAAGACGTACGCAGCGCTGTGTACGTCAGGGGTTATTCAGGGGGTACACGGGGGTTATATCCGGGTTATACCGCCCTTAACCTCTATGTAATTCCCTTCTAACCTCCGTGTAAATTATTTGTACCCATAAAACTACAGAAACGCAGAACTCATTTGTAGCTTACAGGTAGTTTACAAAGAGGTTACATGAGGGTTACAGAGGGGTATAACCCCGATATAACCCTCCGGTACCTCTTGAATAACCCCTGGACGTACGCATCGCTGCGTACGTCTTATGTACACAAATATTTTCCCTAAATGGGGCCTCAGTGTGTTTTTGAAGGCTTTAATTTTCTATTTTAAAAATAAATCAATTTTTTTTAAAAACACTTAGAACAATATTATTAAGAATACTCCAAGCTTGTGTGTGTTTTGAATGTTTTTAAAAAAACTATTGCAACTAAATATTTTATATTTCAAATCAAAATATAAACCAAGGAAAAGAAAAATTAAAAAAAAAAAACAAAACAAAACAAAAGCGATCCAAAATGGCCTCCTTAAATTCGAATGGCATGTATAGTTGGAACTTGCCTACAGTGGCATGCATGAGAGGATAAAATGCTTGGGTGTGATCCTGTCGAAATGTTTTCTTGCAGCTCTGAAATAAGGATGAAGTCGAATTTGCTAACACCTCCCTATATAATTAAAACAAAATTAAGTTAAACATACTAAGTAAATAAAAAAGTATAGATATATAACATGACAAAGTTACAACAATCACCTCGGAGACAACATAAAGAGAACATGAAGAAAACTATGATTTAAAAAAAAAAAAATTCAGCTTAACACAAAATCCTATGAACAAAATTAGAAGATAAGATGGCAATTTATTTGGAAAAAAATTAACTAAAATTTAATTTTAACAGGAAATACCATATTGACAGGTTCAAGGCTTAAGAAAGATATACAAAGTTAATCCATAATTACAGATTTACTGCTCGATGCAACATATAATAAAGGCCGGCCTTGCAATGAGAACTCCATCAATTTAAAAGTAAAAAATTCTTCTTTTTTTTTCCGGAATGGAAGAAATGTCCGCCTCAAGTTCCAATGGATTCAAACGTTGTAACTAACTCAACAAATTTGGATATGTTAAAGTGAACAGAAGAAAAAAGAAGCAATATAAATTACAGCATAAACAATATAATGCAGCACTGAAGAACCGCAAAGCGATGTTCTCAACCACATAGCGATGCTTAACAAATTCACGTTAGTCAGCTTGTGAAAAGGCAAAGGAGAATAGAAGAATGCCGGGCATATAAACCTTGGCAGTTTTTTCTTGGTGATGTCTTTCATGTTGGTGGAACTCCAGCAAAGGTAATCTGGATACATCAAACAGAGCTTTTCTGTTGCACTGAGCATCCAACAGCTCAGACTTTCCATGAATGGCAAGCGAAGTTTCATATTCAGAACTTCCACTACAATCCTGAGCAAGGAGAACAATAAATTCTCAAATTAAAGAGTCCAAAACAGAAACATGCTTTCAAACAAATCTAAAATACTGCAGGAATATGTTTAGCACCATTAATACACGAGCTTTCGTAAAATAAAAAAAAAACAGAGAAAAAGAATACTCGACTGTCATCTCCTTTAAGGCACCCATGATTGGGCATAAATGCACCGCATTTAATAAAATATATCAATGCTCTAATAGGCTACAATTGGAGCCCAAGCGCGTTTTTTTTCCTATTTTCTCCTAATTTTATTTTATTATTAATATTATTTTTGCATATAGCGATCTAAGTGTCCTTTTGCTAGCTAAAGATCTCACCACAAGCTTATCCTATGCACATATACAATGTCTGCAACACCTAAGCTCACTAACAAAAGAAGAATGTAGTAACAAATTTAAATAAACATGATACATACAATATAAAAATAAAGCATGAATACTTCTAAAGAAATGAGTAACAAACTTTAAATTAGTCCTGAATAAATACAAATTTGAAGGATGAAATTAATATTTTTTAAAGAAGCTGATGTGGTTTGAAGCTACATTAAGTCCAACGTCCGTATTAGTAATAAGAAAAATTATAAATAATGCAGCAAATTATTTAAACTAATACATGTCCAAGCCTCTCGTAAAGCTTAAACAATGATTAATATCAAATATTAAAAAAAAAAAAAGGCTAGGTGGATCTATATGCTGTTAAGCAGATAGCACCAAGCAAAAAAAAATGATGGCCTTAGAGCTTCAAATATGACAGCTCAAAATTAGCACAAATAAGATATGGATTGAAAGAAAATTCTTAAGCTCGTGATTTAATATTTCTTTTACCATAGTTTAAGCTAGTAACCCATGTTCCAACACAGCAACTGCATGCTCATGGACCTCAGTCATTCATCATTTCAACTTCATTAAATGCTAAACATTTGAACGCATGCCACCAACATCAACAAGAGTTACAAGACACACACAGACCATAAGGAGCTAAGCAACCACAATAAACTGAGTCGAAAGTCGCACAAGAATCTGACCATGTATGTAACATTTCACAGAAATCATCCAGCTGAAAGGTAAGCACTTATTAAACCATCCAAGAACAAATCAAAAGCCTATATAATTTAAGCAGAAAAAGGTTCAATGATTTACATCATAACACGTAAAAATAACATAAGGTAAGACCACAAGGGCAACACAGCAACAATCAAATGGCAAAAAATTAAGGAGAAGCATAAAGAACCATTAATCTTGACGCAGGGCAGACGCAGGGGTTTCCCACACATCACACTATTACGTATGCATGTGATTCTGCAAACATTGCTATAGTATCGAACACACGGTAGTGCAGAGGTTGCTTGGACCGGTTCTTGATCGCAGTTTTGAAGGCCGACCGACTTTTCTTCCCGTGGGATTGCTGCTTACAGGGAGTGGGGGTCCACTCCTTAGTACCCTAATATTATATATATTGTTTCTTTGTGTTTTAGGTCAATTTTCTTGTGTGCTATGTATCGGAAAAGCCGCCGGCATCTCTATTTCCCTTAGAGGGCTGTATCCAAAGATTCTATGTGGTATTCGGCTATATTGCGGTTTACAAGTTGTGTTTCATCTGTATTGTGATCTCTAGGTGGTGATTATCTTCCCTATCCCATTTCAAATCCTCCCCATATCGCTCCAAGACGTCTTTAACTGGTGCAGCAACTGGAACAACGACTTTTTATTTTTTTTCCTGCAGTTCCACCATTTTCAACCACCTCTCTCTCTTCCTAGGCTTGCCGCTGCTTACCACATGATACCGAAGTCAACACAAACCACAACAAAAGATAATATTATTGCTGAGATTCAAAAAAAGCAGTTACAAACAATAGACACTTGTAAATAGGAAAAAAATGACACAAACACAAATACCCCTAAGGTGAGGTTCGAAGGTGGTGGGTCGAATGTAAGATAGTGGAAACGAAAAGCTGTCGATGGTAGGGGCAAGCCCTAAAGCAAAATAAATACATATATATAGTCCTAGGGTAAAGAGGAGTGAGCCCCACTCCAAATAGGAAGGAACCATATACAAGGAATAACATCATAGTTCTCCCACCTAAATTGAGCAGATCGGCGTGCGACACTTACCTTGCCCATGAGGGCATAGGCGCCCCCGTGTCAATCTTCAGAGATTGGGGGAGTTTTGACCTCATTTATCGAAGTTGAAGCTTCTAGTTCCTCATAGCACAAAGTCAAATTTACTATGTTTAAAGTAGCAAAAATAATGTAGTCCTTTGAATAGTCATTCTTATAGACATTGTCATCAGCCTTTTGAGAATCCTGAATGGTCCATCTGCCTTGGGCTTGAGCTTCCCGAGGAATCCCACCAAAAGCCTTTCTTTCTTTCATTTTCATGAAAACCTTTCTTTCCCCTTCACAGAAACCTTTTTTTCAACCTCATGTGTTTAAGTCGAAGCTTTTGATTCCTTGTAGCATGAAGTCAAATCTTTTATGTTGAAAGTAACACAAAAATTGTAGTCCCATGATAGGTCAATCTTGTAGGCATTATTATTCAGCCTTTTGAGAATCCTGAGAGATTCATTTGCCCTAGGCTTAAGCTTCTCAAAGGATCCCACCAAAAACCTTTCTTTCTTTAACTTGAGCAACACTAAATCCCCTTTTTAGAAATTCACCTTAGTTTTATTTGCTTGTGCTTGACACTTACAATTCTGTTTGGTGATCTCATTTCCCACTTCTTCCTGTAACCTCCCCCCCCCAACTAATAGGTCAATCTTGTAGGTATTATCATTCACCCTTTTGAGAATCCAGAGACATTCATCTGCCCTAGACTTGAGCTTCTCAAAGAATCCCACCAAAAACATTTTATTCTTTAACTTGACCAACACTAGATCCCTTTTTTAGAAATTATCCTTCTTAT